TTCTGGTGTCTATAGCCTGTCTCTGCAGGCCTTTTAATGTAAACACGGCAGCACTGCAGCACTGGCGTTAGTTAACATGGCAAATCATATGGGTGGGGCATTGTGATGTCACATGGGGGGGGCGGTAAACTTTACTTTTGCCTAGGGCGGCAAAAATCCTTGCACCGGCCCTGGCTGGAGGGGGCTGTGTGAGCTGTAGCCGCACAGTGTCCCATGGTAGTTAGGGTGCCGTGCGGCCAGTTCAGCTCACACAAGCAAACAGCTGATAAACTGGCCGCACGGAGGAAATGTGTATGTGTGACTGTCTGCCTGTGACTGTATGTGACTGTCTGCCTGTAACTGAGTGTGTGACTGTCTGCCTGTAAATGTGTGTGTGGGGCTGCAGGGATTTTGTAGAAGGGGGTTGCGGGGGTTTTGTAGACGAGGCAGTACAGGATTTGTAGAAGTGGCAGGACAGAGGTTTTGTAGGAGGGGCGGGACAGGACAAGGGTTTTGTAGGAGGGGCTGACAGCGGTTTTGCAAATTTTTTACAGGTTTTTTTTTTTTTTGGGGGGGGTGCCAAGCACAGGATCCACCCCGGGTGCCAAATGCTCTAGGTACGCCCCTGCTAATAGCCACTCATATACTGAGCCAAATGTACATTCTATGAGACTAGGAGACTGCTATACCCCTAATAAATGGATTCAGAAGTAATAAAAAAAATAAAAAAGGTAATTCAGCTCTGGTATGTAATAATTATGAATTAAAGGGACACTGTAGGCACCCAGACCCCTTCAGTGGTCAATGGTCTGGGTGCTGTGTCCCTTTTGCATCTAGTGCTGCAATGTTAAGCATAGCAGTTCTAGACAACTGCAATGTTTATAGTGTAGCACTAGGTCTCCCCTCAGTGGCTGTCTACCAGACAGCTACTGGGGGCGCTTCCGCTATTATAACGGACTTTTGGTCCATTATCTGATGCTGGATGTCCTTATGCTCTGTATGAGGACCTCCAGCATCAGATTTTTCCCCATAGGAAAGCATTGATTTAATGTGCATGTGACCCCACTCTTCACGGAAAAGGAGAAGGAGGCGGATCTTCAACCGAGCGCAGAAGGACATTGGTGCAGAAATAAAGTAAGTAAATAAAGGGTTTTTAACCATTTATTTACCGGGGAGGGGGCGCGAGGGAGGGGGAGGCAAAAAGATCGGTAGTGCCAGGAATACAGCTTTGTAGTCCTGGCACTACAGTATCCCTTTAATAAACAATGAGTAAGAAGTGATGAGTAGATATTAGACACACAAAGTCTCTAACAATGGAGATCAAAACAATATATTAAAAAAAAAAAAAGTACAAAATAATAAAATGACCAAAAAAATTTTACAATGTGGTCCATTCTATAAAATTAGAATACACATATGATAAAGTAGGATTTGTGCAATAGATAAGCATGACCAAATAGTAGACCTTGTGATTTTAAAAAGAAAAGAATATAATCTAACTTCAGATAAAGCATCATGCAGATGTCTGTAAACCAGCCCGATTTGGAGTTTGAAGTGGTAGATGTACTCCAGTTTGTGTACCTTGTGTAGGTTGGCAATAACTTGAAAGTATTGAGAGATAAGTACAAGCATCATCATTAGTAAAAAGATATTAGTTAGTATGGTTTGTGATATCAGTAACTGAGAGTATAAACCAGGGATATTGTGGTTTGAAGGGTAAAGTTACTCTGGCACCATAAAAACTTCAGATCTTTTCGTTTGCCCATTTTTCCTGCTTCCAACACATGAAATTTAAGAACGGACTTTTCACGTTCTGCCTAATATATCCCATCCCTTGACAGATGCCATTATAATGATATAATCAAGGTTATCCACTTCCCACGCAAAAGCTCTTCGGCAGGGCTCTGTGCATGGTCTGCACTGGAAGAGCATCAAATCAACATGCTCACTTTGTGGGGAGCGTGTTTGTCACTGATGATGACAAAACACTATCCTCACCCGCTTCTCACTGGGCCAATCATGATTGTAAAATGCTCAGGCCAATTTTTTTACGCTCTCCATCCTAGCCTGTGTGCTTGGAAGCCTGCATGTTTGAATCTATGTATGAATTTAATATATTTTGCATGAACTAAAAGAATTAAAGAAGCTAGGAAACATATGGATAGCAATTACCTTTATCTTTCACTACTATAAATTGGTTGGTTTTGCATATATATTTAATGTGTTAATTACCTGCAATGCATTTAAAAAAGAAAAAAAAGTGGGTCTTGGATTGCCAATCAACATAGTGACACATCTGTTTCTTTGATTTTGGACAAAAAAATTGAAATGGGGCACTATTCAAGAAAATAACATATACCCTGCTATTTCAAATACATTTGAAGTAAGAAATCTTCACATACCAGTATTTCCTTCAATGTCTTGCTTCGTGTAATGCACTCCCTGGCTTGAAGACCTCTGTAAAGGGGCTGGCTTGCGAACATTTGTCCAGTCTAGATGGCTAATATCAGATCTTGATCTGTTGTGACCTCGCTTAAATTTAGGTGCTTCTTCAACCCAAGCAAGTGTATCATTAATGGAACGAGGTCTATCACGTCTACGACATGCACTAAAGAAGTTAAAAGCAGATGTGTCTTTATCCCCTTCACCATTCAGGGGGCTATCAGGAAATACTCTTCTATTTGACGAATAAAGTTCTTTGGCATGGATCCCATTCTTTGCTTTGGCATCAAAGAGACTACTTTTACACCTCTCCCAAATAATGCTACTCTGCGAAGTATTGGCATTTTGACCATCAGCTTGTATAATTTTATTGGATATCTCATTTCCCAAGAGCTCTGGGACTTCATGAATTCCAAAGACTTCACCCTGATGGCCAACATGTTCTAGCTTTTCAAAAGAGCTAAAAAAGTCTTCTGTGACTTCCAAAGCCGGACTGATGTCATCCACTTCAAATGCTTCCATGTTATCGTCCAGTTTTACACTACTAGAAGCTCATAGTCGATTCAAATGTTCATCCATATAACCCATAGAACCTTCTCCAGGTGAGTACTTGGATTCTGCCAAATAAATCAGCCTTGTTTATAGAGGACTTCTGAAACACACAGAAAGACACGAATGAGATTATTGCTTTTATTTAGTAATATAATGTTTAACATTTTTAGATTTTTTTCCCCAGGCATAACAGAAGATTATAGTTCCAAAAACAATATCAACATTGTGCTTAAAGCTGTGCAGTGTTCTATGAATGTTTTGAAAGTAAATATTAATAAAAGGTGGTTAGGGCAACAGAGATATTAAAACATAATATAATGTAATATCTGCTTAGATAAGCTTTATCGGAACTGGCTAATAATCTTTCTGAGACTTTCACAGTACATTAGCCAAAGGAATGCTGCAATAAAATGGCATTAGAGTAACAAGATGTGTTTGACAATAGAGAAACTCTGCTATCTGCTGCATTTATAGAAGTGTAAAGGATAATACCAAGCTTAGATAAATAGCTATTGGGAATCAATCACCATAAAACTTTTTTTTTAAAATATATATATATATATATATATATATATATATATATATATATATATATATAAAAAAAGGGGTTGGCTGCACTCACCCGAACACATGCATAAATGGGGGTGCTGCTAGCCAAATAATATGTTCACAAGATCCAGCGATCACCTATCCACTAAACGCAACTTCAATGTTGAAAGATTCGCTTTTAAAACACCTAATCTAAAAATAAATTTAGGGTTTAGTTACATTATATGATCATACATTAGAGCAAGCTCGCTACAACGTCAATGTACCCCATCTTTGGCAGGTCCTACACTAACAGCCTAATGTCTGCTCTTATGAAATTAACCACTTACTTGAGGAAAAAAATTCCATCTGGGGCTCTCTGCAGTACAAGGCTAAATAGGGCCCTGGGATGAGGCACCTGTGACAGGGAGGGGTGCAAAACCAAGGAGTTGGCTAGACTCCCAAATATATAAATATGAAACAAGGGGGGGGTTGGCTGCACTCACCTGAACATGCATAAATGGGGGTGCTGCTGGGGGCCAAATAATACAAAACACAAGATCCAGCGCACTCACCTATCCACTAAACAGCAACTTCAATGTTGAAGGATTTTATTCGTTTTTTTTAAAAATACCTAATCTAGGCAAAAATACTGTACTGCAGAGAGCCCCAGATGGAATTTTTTTCCTCAAGTAAGTGGTTAATCTCATAAGAGCAGACATTAGGCTGTTAGTGTATGACCTGCCAAAGATGGGGTACATTGACGTTGTGGCAGGCTTATGCAATGTATGATCATATAATGTAACTAAACCCCCATTATTTTTGCCTAGATTAGGTGTTTTTAAAAAACGAATAAAATCTTTCAACATTGAAGTTGCTGTTTAGTGGATAGGTGAGTGTGCTGGATCTTGTGTTTTGTATTATTTGGCCCCCAGCAGCACCTCCATTTATGCATGTTCAGGTGAGTGCAGCCAACCCCCCCTTGTTTCATATTTATATATTTGGGAGTCTAGCCAACTCCTTGGTTTTGCACCCCTCCCTGTCACAGGTGCCTCATCCCAGGGCCCTATTTAGCCTTGTACTGCAGAGAGCCCCAGATGGAATTTTTTCCTCAAGTAAGTGGTTAATCTCATAGGAGCAGACATTAGGCTGTTAGTGTAGGACCTGCCAAAGATGGGGTACATTGACGTTGTGGCAGGCTTATGCAATGTATGATCATATAATGTAACTAAACCCCCATTATTTTTGCCTAGATTAGGTGTTTTTAAAAAACGAATAAAATCTTTCAACATTGAAGTTGCCGTTTAGTGGATAGGTGAGTGCGCTGGATCTTGTGTTTTGTGTTTTATATATATATATATATATACACACACACATATACACACACACATATATATATATACACATATAAATACATAAATATTATACTATACAAAAAGATAACTGATTCTCATACCCATATCCTATTTCAAGCCATGCTCAGTCTTTCATTGCATAAAAAATAAGACTCAGTCTTTCCATGAAACAAAATTCTGAATCCACCAACGGATAAAACACCATCCCCAGATGTTGTTCTTCAATCTGTAAGTCAGGTTCCCTCTCGCAGGTTATGTGAGAAAGGTAGAAAAAAAAACCTCAATTTTTACTTACCGTAAATTCTTGTTTTCTTAATATGGTGGCAGTACCTGTGGGTTGTGCCTCCTTAATTCAAAAGATAGAAGTTAATTCAAAGTCCCTCCCCTCTATCCCATAAAGGGCTTCCCCCGGCAAACCCACCTCAGTCGTAGCAAGAAACAACACACCACACATGTCAAATACAAGTAATTTTTTTAATTCAGAGGGAGGGAGTATTGTACTGCCACCATATTAAGAAAAAAAGAATTTACGGTAAGTAAAAATTTCATTTTTTTTCTGGCATATGGTGCAGTACCTGTGGGAAATAGCAAGATTCCCATTGGGTGGGAATTACACCACAACTGCTTGAAGCACCTTACGCCCAAATGCAGCTTCAGAGGATGAGAATACATCTAGCCTGTAATGCCTGATGAAGGTGTTGCATGATGACTAAGAAGCCGCCTTTAAACTTCCCTTGGAAATTGACAAACAGGTGATTAGATTTTCTATATTGGGCAGATCTGTACAGCTCTATTTTAGTTCCTGCGACGAGGTGGCATTACTGCAGAAGGAAGGTAAAACGATGGACTGATTAACAGCTCTAGAAGCGATAACCTTCGAAAGGAATGAAGGATTAGGATGGAATACCTTATCTTGGTGGAATATAATGAATTTGTCCAATGAAGAAAGAGCCTGAAGTTCACCTACTCTTTTTGCAGAGGTGATGGCCACCAAGAAGGCCGTCATGAGTGTTAAGAGTCTTCAATGGGACCTTCTCCAAAGGTTCAAAAGGAGGTTCACAGAGTGCTTGCAGGACTGAAGAAAGATCCCAGGAGGGAATATATAACTTCCTAGGTGGTCTAAGAAGCCTTACTGCTTTGAAGAATCTCCTAATTAGAACATGCAACTCTAAATCCTTCACTAGAAAAAAACTCAAGGCACCTAGTTGGACTTTCAAAGTGTGATAGACCATCTATCCATTGAGGATGATCTGTCCTGAACAGGGAAAATTTTTTGAATTTTGGTGTTCTCTCTTTTTGCCATAAGGTCTACAACGGGCATTCCAAATCTCTTTATTAGAACGTCGAATATCCTTGGGTTTAGAGACCACTCTTTCTGATCCCATTTCTGTCTGCTGGGGGACCACAGAGATGTCTTCTTAGTGAACCTGAGCCCAGCAGATAATGTCGGCACATAGCCAAAACAGACTTTCCACTCTGGTGCCACGTTGTCTGTTGATGTAAGAGACCACTGTGTTGTTGTCTGACTGTATTCTTACGGGCCTCTTTTCTATCCAAGATCTGAATTGGTGAAGGACGTAAAGAACTGAAATTCAATTCTCTGTAATTTGTTGACCTGTTTTTGTCTTCTGTGGACCAAGTACCTTGGCACATTAACGAATTTAGATGAGCGCCCCAGCCTGAGTTTGACACATATGTAGTGACGACCACGCATTCTTTCGGTCTGAAGGAAACTTGAAGTTTTCCACCAGTTTAACTGAGCTTTTACCTGAGGAGATATCTGGAGATACAAATCTAAGTCTCCCTCTCTTTTTGACCAAGAAGAGAGGATTTCCTACTGAAGAGGCTTTATTTCTCACACTCATTGCCTGTCTTATAGAGTAATAATCTCTTTTCTGTAAATCTGACACTTTTTTCCGGATTGTCTTTCTTTTGTCTGTAGTCAGATGTAGAGATAACGTTCTTGAGCATATTTTGAATGCCATGAATTCTATTTTATTTATTTTTTTTAAAGGAAGTAGAATTGACTTCTTTAAGTTCAGCATCCAACCGTGTTCCTGAAGCACTTGGATTGTGAACCGAACCTTTTCCAACAGCAAACTTTTGGAATTTGCAATAAGCAGCCAATCATCCAAGTAGGGAATGAGACACCCAACTCCCTTAGATAAGCGGTTATAGGCTTTGAACTGGAAATGTAAAATCTCTTTTCCCCTTTTTATGGTGAATCTCAGGAATCTTCTTGAGGTAACTGCCATAGGGATATGAAGGTAAGCATCCCTGAGATCCAGCTTCCCCATAAAATCCCCTTTCGGAAGAATCTGAGTTACGGAAGTAATCGTTTCCATTCTAAACCTTTGGTAAGGAAGAAACTCGTTCACATTTTTTAATCTAGGATCAGCCAAAAGGAATGGTCTGGTTTCGAGATTAGGAAGAGTCTTGAGTGGATTCCTTGGAATTCCTGGGTCACCAAATCCTTTTCTATGACCCCTTTTTTTTAATAGCAGAACCGTTTCTGCAAACAGAGCTTCTGATTTTCGGGAGGATGGATAAAAGTTTTGGTTTGGGCAGGTTTGGAAAGTGCAATCGGTACCCTCTTTTCACCAGATTTAGAATCTATGAATTGCTTGTAGTTTTTTCCCATCTTTTGAAGAAACACTGGATTCTGCCTCCTATCTCTTGGCATCAGAAACGCCTACCCTTGTCAGATCTATCCCCTTTTTTCTCCTCAAACCTCAGATTTTTTTTCTCTTTTTTCAAAATAAGGAGGCCTATCCTGGTAGGTTCTTCTATACCTATACTGGACATTTTTATAACCAGGCTTCCAAGAAAATGTCTTGTCTTGAGGAAGGGATTTTTCACCTCAGACATCTGTTTAATGAGCTCCTCTAAAGGAGACCCGAACAGCTTTTGTTTTTCCAATGGGAGTTCCCAGAGGACCAATTTTGTCACAAGTCACAAGGCTCTACGGGCAACTGAAGATAAGCCCATGGATTCTGGAAGCCAACTTGAGCACTTCATTCGTCTTATCCATAAATGTATTAGACAATTTCAAATTTTGTAGCAACCTAACCAGTTACTTGTCTGGAGAGTCCAACATCATCTCCTCCAAAGATTGCGACCACAAGTTACTAGCTCCGAATACTGCTGCCCCAGACAGCAAAGCTTTACACTGGAAACCTGCCGACTAGAAAGCACGCCTGCAAATGGTCTTGCCCCTCTT